TGGGAGAACTTGCACTATTGGTGGCTGACTAAATACTTTTTCGCCCCACTGTATATATATATATATATATATATATATATATATATATATCCTATGTGTTTGATGTTAAAATGTTGCACCTTAAAGTTAGCGTCAAAATGTTAATGTCTTCAATGCATAGTAAAGGAAGCGACATAAATCCCATGAACAATTTCAAGCTATTTATTATGACAGCAGAGTTTTGGTAAATACTTCCAACATTTCTAAGCACTCTCTAAAGTTTAGCCCTGCCTCTGCTTATGTCTCGGGTTTGTCTTGCAGAACACAAACAAGCGCCCCCTCCTTCGGACAAAGAAACAGTCTTTGCAGCGCTTTTTCAGGGCTGACTTGGTTTTCATCCCCACAGAGGGCTGGATGCAGGGAAGATGCTGCCACTGACCCAAACGGGACGGTCCATCCTGAATCGGGAGGATAGATGAGGGAAGAGGCCCAGATCTGATTCTGGCTGCTGATAGAAGCATTGAGCGAGGGGCAGCAGCGACAGTCCATAAACATCTGTAGGCACTCGCTGCTGATGTGAAGAGGCTGGGATTCAAGCAGCTTATCTTGGTCACTTGTTGAGTCAGAGAGGTAGCCAGGTGCTTCAGCAACAGAGGACCCATGGTGACAACTCCTGCAGAGAGAAACATCCAATGAAATTTAGAGCGTAAATAGTTTGAGAAACCGGCTTAGGCAAAATAAACTGTTCAGTTAGGTCAATCTTAAGAGTACAAAGCTTCAATTTTATTCAAATTACAACTTGAAACTTTAACATAGTTTATTGGCTCTTTGCTGCAGCAGACGAGATACAATAGTACATAATAGTGAGGTGTAAGGGGGAAAAAAACGTATTATTAAAAGTCTTCAAAGTGTTACATGCATTCATAATTTTTAAGACAACAGTGGAAAAAAATCTAATAAAATTAGGGCTGCAATTAATCATTATTTTGCCAGTTTATTAGCCTGTTGTTTTTTGTCGATGTATTGATTAATAATTCACTGGCAAAAGGTTCCTTAAAAAAGATTTGATACAGAATTTAAACCAGGTGAAGTGAAAATTATTCAAAATATCTTGAATTCAAAATGTTTAAGTATTTTTTATCTATTTTTTACAATTTCAGCATAATTACTCTGCTGAGTGGGTTGGCCTGATTTATACTCTCTATACTTGAGTTAAGATTAATCGATTACTAAATTAAATCAAAATTATATCCATTAATCACAATTAGTCCAAATAAATGTTTCAGCCCTACGAAAAAAAAGGTAAAACATTTTTGTAAAGAAGCATATTTTCCCTTAATTTGGACAGCCAAATAGGATGATCTGGCAGGGAAATTTGAATGTTTGCCTTTATGATAATTAATCAATCAAAAAAGATAAGGATACAGTATATTCTTTTTTTTTTATTATTCTAAATATAAACCATCTTATTCCATTGACAAGTTGTCACCACAGTGGTTCACATCAAGGTATAATACACCAGTTATAAGAAAATCATTTCAATTTTTGCAGTGAATGTATTTTGAAACCCCAACCATTGCCTTTAGGAGTCCTATAATCCGCTTATATAATTCCTCTATAGCAGAGGTGATGGATGAGCGGACCAGGGT